GCAGGAGGTATACCCTCTCCTTCACTAGCTTCTCCCTTCTGGGGCACCTGCTGTTTTTATTCTGCCTCCCTTTAAAGGCCTTTGAATTTGCAGATGCAAATTCTGGATGCCACTCAAGATGGTAGAAGCGTAGAAGGAGAAGCAGGCCACAGTGTCCCAAAGCTAGATTATGGGGTAAAACTGAGATTATGGGGTAAAACCCAATATAAACCCACCAGACACATTAAAAAAATTCCATGAAACCTTAACAAATTCAATAGGCTAGAAATCATACAATGTCTATTCTCAGATCAAAATGGAGTTAAATTAGAAATTAATAACAGGACTGGGAATGTGGCTTAGTGATAGAGTGCTTGCCTAGCATACATGAAGCCCTAGGTTCGATTCCTCAGTACCACATAAACAGAGAAAGCCAGAAGTGACACTGAGACTCAAGTGGTAGAGTGCTAGCCCTGAGCAAAAGAAACTCAGGGACAATGCCCAGGCTGAGTTCAAGCCTTAGTGTTGGCAAAAAAAAAAAGTAAAAAATAACAGAAAGAAAATCCTTAAGTTCTGAAGATTAAACAGTAGACTTCTAAATAACACATGGGGTCAGGCAGGGATGGTACATTCCTATAATCTCACCATTCTAGAGTCAGAAGCAGAGGATTGTTCCAGGCCACTCTGGGTGACAGAGAGAGACCTTACCTCAAGATCAAGTCAATCCCACACATCGGTCAAAGAAAAAAATCTTAAGAGAAATTTTAAAATATTTATTTAATTTTTTTTCTTTTTGTCGGTCATGGGGCCTGAACTCTGGGCCTGGGCACTGTCCCTCAGCTCTTCAGCTCAAGGCTAGCACTCTACCACTTGAGCCACAGCACCACTTCTGGCTTTTTCAGCTTATTTGGTGCTGAGGAATTGAACCCAGGGCCTCATGCATGCAAGGCAAAGCACTCTACCACTGAGCCACCTTCCCAGCCCTATCCACCCAAAATGAAAATAAAAATAGAAAGGAGAAAAGACAAACTACCAATAGCAGAATGAGAGAGGAACATTACTACAGATCTTGTGGACACTGGAAGAATGATAAGGAAACTTATGACTGTGCCAACTAATTTGAAAACTTAGATGAAACAGACCAATTCCTTGAAAAACACAATCTGCCAAAACTCATATATAAATAACCTGACTATACCTGTATCTCTAAAGTTGAGTCAATAATAGAGTGTATCATACCCAGATGGACTCACTGGTGAGTTATACCAAACATTTAATAAAATATTCTCTACAATTTCTTTGAACAGAACAAAGTCAAAGGAATATATCACTACTTATTCTATTAGGCCATCACTCTCATAATACCAAAACCACTTCCAGAAAACTACAGACCACTGTCTCTAATGAATATAAATGCAACAACCTTTGACAAAAATATTAGCAAATTGAATACAAAAATGTATAAAAATAGCTTCCCAGCTGGGCACTGGTGGCTCATGCCTGTAATCTTAGCTACTCAGGAAGCTGAGATTTGAGGATCCTGTTTTGAAGCTAGCTTGGGCAAGAAAGGCTGTAAGATTCTTATCTCCGATTAACCACCTGAAAACAGGAAGTGGAGCTGTGGCTCCAAGTGGTAGAGTGCTAGCCTTGAGCAATAACTAAACTGAGGCTGTGAGTTCTAGCCCCATGAACTACCCCCAACTTCAAAAAAATATATATATAACATCACAATCAAGTGAGATTTATTCCAGGAATGCAAGACTGCGTCAACATTTGGGAATCAATACAATCCATCACATAGATTAAAGAAGAAAAACTGCATGATCATGTCATAAAGAAAAAACATTTGGTAAAATTAATAACCTATTCAGTTTTTGGAATATTTAAAAACTCTAAGAGAACTTCCTTAAATGGGTTGAAAGCTTAAGTCATCACAAAAACCTGCACATAGGTATTTTTATAGTAGCCCAAACTTGGAAGCAACCAAGATGCCCTTCAGTAGATAAATGGATAAACTGTGGGACATATGGACAGTGAAATATTATTCAGTGCTAAAAAAATAACTGAGCTATCAAGTCATGAAAAGAATGGAAGAAACAAATGCATATAACTAAGAGAAAGATGCCAATGTGAAAAGGCTATGTACTCTATTATTTCCAACTCTTTCTAGAAAAAGCAAAAGGAGACAATAAAAGGATCAGAGGGTAACCAGTGATTGGAGGAAGGAGGGATAAATAAGGACAGATAAGGAACTTCTTAGGACAGTGAAACTATTCTGTGTGATACTACCATGTTGGTGTGTTATACATTTCACAAAGCCCATAGAAAGTACATTACCAAGAGCGAGCCCTAGATTAGGGGTTTGGGTGATGATAATGTGTCAATGTAGGTTCATGACTGTTCAATTGTGAGGGAGGTTGTATGAACAGAGACAGGGACTATGTATGCATTTTCTGTGCTTCAGCTGACTTGTGCTGTGTACCTAAAACAGAAAATTAAAAAAAAGAGAAAAGAACCAAAAACCAGTTGAGTGTCGGTTGCTCACGCCTATAACCCTAGCAACTCAGGAAGATATCTGAGGATCACTGTTCAAAGCCAGCCCAGGCAAAAAAGTCTACAAGAATCTTATCTCCAATGAGCCACCAGAAAACCAGAAGTGGTGCTATGGCTCAAAGCAGTAGAGTGCTATCTTCAAGCAAAAAAGAGCTCAGGGACAAGTGGCCAGGCCCTGAGTTCAAGCCCTTGAAACAACAGAAAAAATAAAATAAAAATCCTTAAACAAAAACTCCAGAGAGCCGGGCGCTGGTGACTCACACCTGTAATCCTAGCTACTGAGGAGGCTGAGATCTGAGGATCATGGTTCAAAGCCAGCTCAGCCAGGAAAGTCAGTGAAACTTTTTTTAAGAAATAATATATATCATTATTACTTTTTTTTTTTTTTTTTTTGTCTGTCATGAGGCTTGAACGCTGAGCCTGGGTGCTGTCCCTTAGCTCCTCAGCTCAAGGCTAGCACTGTACTGCTTGAGCCACAACACCACTTCCGGCTTTTTCTGTTTATGTGGTGCTGAGGAACTGAACCCAGGGCCTCATGCATGCGAGGCAAGCACTCTACCACTGGGCCACCTTCCCAGCCCCTCGTGGAACTCATCTCCAATAAACCACCAAAAAGTGGAAGTGGTGCTGTGGCTCAAGTGGTAGAGCGCTTGCCTTGAGCTGAAGAGTTGAGGGACAGCATCCAGGCCCAGAGTTCAAGTCCCATGACCAACCGAAAAAAAACAAAAAAACTCCAGAGAAATTCTGAGGGCCTAATGATATTTCTGACCCAGCCCTTTTTCCAACCCTCAGTTACACATCTCTTCTCAGTGTTTAGCTTCTGGCTCCTAGTCCTGTCCTTGTCCAATTGCTTCTTTTCCTCTTGCCTAATGCATTCTTCTGATTCTGGGCCCCTTTCTCTTCAAACCTCTCCTGGAGTCTTGAAACTGATTGTGGCCTTGGCAAGGAGCCTGAAGCCCAGAGCTAATGAAGAATTCAACTAGGTCTTGGCATTATAGCATACGCTTGTAATCTCAGCACCTGGGAGGTTGAGGCCAGGAAGATGCCAAGTTATAGGCCACACTAGACTAGCTAGTGAGGCCTTGCCTCCAAAAACAAAACAAAAGCTGGTGGCTCATGCCTGTAATCTTGGCTGCTCAGAAGGCTGACATCTAAGGATCTGATTCAAAGCCAGACTGAGCAGGAAAGTCTCCTGAGACTCTCATCTCCAATAAACTACTCAGTGCCCAGGCTAGCCTCTTCTCTTTCTCTAAGGCTTCCTTTTCCATGCCCACATCCATCTCACACACTCTGAATTCTTTTTCCTCTTTTGTAGCCATCACCTTGCCAGAAGCTCCCCAAGGCCTAACCCCAAACATGGGATGGCTTATACATTTGTGTGCATGCATTGTATCTGTGCCTGGTACAATGAGCCTCAGTTTGCCCTTCTTCAAGCTTTTGACACCATCCCTTTCCCATACCACGCCTCTCAAGAGACAAAAAGAACTCTCCTCAGATTTGTTCTTGCCTGCCAAGGCCCACTCCCAAGGGGAGCACCCCAATGGACAATCTCAACATGTCCCTGGCTTTGGGCTTAAGTAACTGAACTCTTGGACAGAGCTCTGCATTTTCTCAAGGGTGGTATGGAGTCTTTCTGGGGGGGCTAGTAGGTGGGAGTGGAGCAGTCCTACCCATGGGGAGTAAATAGGCAGACAGGCTAGGAACAGTGTGCTAGAAACCTCAGGAGTAGGTAGGGTGGGTACAACTAAAACATAGGGGTATCATCCTTAAAAAAATAAAAAAAAAATTGAGAACATTTGGGTACTGGTGGCTTACACCTGTAATCCTAGCTACTCAGGAGGCTGAGATCTGAGGATCTGGGGTTGAATCCAGTCCAGGCAGGAAAGCCTATAAGATACTTATCTCCAATTGAGCACCAAAAAAGGCTGGAAATAGGGCTGTGGCTCAAGTGGTAGATCACCAGCTTTAGCATAAAAGCTCATGGACAGCACCTAGGCCCTGAGTTCAAGCACCAGGAACCTCCCCTCCCCCCGCCCCACACACATTGAGGACAGAGCCCAAGCACAGTGGCTCATGTAATTCCAGCTACTTGGAAAGCTGTGATCAGAAGGATCATAGTTTCTGGCCAGCCTGAGTAGAACAGTTGGAGAGACCTAGGTATGGTGGTATGCACCTATCATTCCAGCTATAGCAGGAAGCATAAAACAGGAAGATGGAGGTATAGGCACTAGCTCAGGCAAATAACCAGTGCTAAAAAGTACTGGAAGTGTAGCTCAACAATAAACAGTAGAGCACCTGACCAGTAAAGGTGAGGCCTGGAGTTCAAACCCTAGTATCACCAAAAAAAAAAAAAAAAAGGAAGAGAGAAAAAAATCGAGACCAGGATGAAACAATCAGGTGAACTCATTGGTCCAGAAGGATTTACACAAAAAGGCTGGGGCCAGCACTGGAGGTTTTAATGGTTCTGTCTAGTCATTTCTCTGGAGTTCAGGGGATAACAGCTTAAAATGGATTTTCAGCAATAATGGACTCCCTTTCTTGGTTCCTGGTGGCACGGAGCTGTAACACAAGAGAGACAGTGTCACTGCAGTCCGGGGAAGAAGATAGGGAAGGGGAAATGGGAGGGGCCTTGCAGTTTGGAGGAGGCTATTCCAATAAGGGAATCTCCTCTTTGCTGGGCAGCTGGCACTCTGCTGCGTCTATGTGTTACCAGAGGCCAGGAACACTGGAGCCCTGCTCTCTCACTCTCTCTCTCATGGAAGTATCCTGGGCCCCAGGGCTGTGGTCATCCAGCTGGCTTTCTAATGCCACATGACCCTTTCCACCTTGAATCCAGGTGCCCACCCCAGTCCTGGAGAGCTCACCCTCCATGGTCCCCAGGCCTCCTCTGGCCCTGGCCTTGGCACTACACCTCAGTCCACCAGAACCTTATTTCCAGTATCCTCTATGAGGTCACTGAGGTTGGAGCTCTACTGAGCTTCTCCCAGGCCCCTGTTCCACTGTTGGAAACCCCACTGGGTTGTGTCAGGCATCCATCCTAGGGAACCCACCCACATAGACCAGGGCAGCCCCTGGTGGAGGAGCTGTGGCTTTGTCTTACTTACTCATCCTGGGATTCTTGGGAGTTCATGGTTGATGTCTGGACAAACTTCACTTCCCCTTCAAGGGTGGCTGTCTTGATCCCTGGCTTGCTGAATTCTAAGAAAGGGTGAGGGAAGTTTGTTTCTTGTTCAGCCCAAGTTTTCTGGAACTTTACAGTTTTGAGTTTCCCTGTCAGCTCTTGCTTCTCTTCAGCGGGCTGGGAGGGCTTTGTAGAAGGTTCTGGAGTCTTCTGTAGTACAGGTTTGAGCATTTTCTCCAAACTGGGCAAGTTCATGTTGCTAGTAGAGGCTATGGCCAGGGAAGATGCAAAGTTGATCAGATCCGATAGGCCGATGGGCGGTGAAAGGTGGGAGACAGGAAGAGAGGAGCTTACAGGTGGCTTCTGGGAGCATGCAGCTGGGAGAGTGGGAGTGGCAATGGAAATGGATTTCTTTTCTGGGTGGCTTCTGGTAGTCTTTTTGCTACTACCTTTGTCTTGGATTTCAATCACCTTTTGTAGGCTGTTCTCTGAGGCCTGGACAGTCTTGTCTGACCAGAAGAGGTGTCTGGAGGTCTGTGCATGGATGGAGCGACTTTGGATTAGTACCTTGTCCTCCTCTGAGTTGCTGCGGATCGAGTCTATGCTCCATTGGTTGAAGCTCTGCATCTCTGCCAGCTCCTCTGTGGTGGGATGGAAGGTTTCAATAGTATATTCTGGCTTAGAGCTGTCACTGCAAGATTCCAAGCTGTCCACCTTCCATATGGGATCCATGTTCATTTTCAGGCCAAAGTTTTCTTCCTGCTCTGGGTTTGGATCTTGGAACAGGGGTTTCTGTTCTACCGATTGTGCCCCTACCTGAAAGATTGCAACTAAAAGCTGAAGTAAGAACTAGGTACCCCCCTACCCACCATTCCAGGTCTCCCCTAGCGCCACGCCCCCCCCCACTACCTCTATCTCACTCACATTCTTCTGAAAGCCCCCTCCCCCATTTACCCTTTTTTGGAGACTTATGAGGGACAGAAAGGCTGGTGATGAGAGTAAGGACGTGGGCGAATGGGCCTTGGGATCTAGAGCCAGTGGCTTACACCTGTCTGAGGATTACAGTTCAAAGCCAGACCAGGCAGGAAAGTCAGTGAGATGCTTATCTCCAAGTAACTGCCAAAAGCCGGAAGTGGAGCTGTGACTTAAGTGGTAGAGCTCCACCTTTGAGCAATAAAACAATGGGGCAGTGCCTAGGCTCTGAGTTCAATACCCAGTACTGGCGTGTGTGCGCGCGCACGTGCGCGCACACACACACACACACACACACACACACACACACACACACACACACACGAGCTGATCAGGATTTTAGAAAAAGGAGCCTCAAAGAGCCCTGGCCCTTAGACCTTTCCATATCAGGGGACACTCACTTCTGCTGAATGATGGGGATGGCTGGGATCATTCCTAAGACAGAGAAAGTCAGGGTAAGTGATAGGTGGGCAATAAGGTGAAGAGGGTAATTTTAGGGAGAAGGGGGATCTCTGGAACCCTTGAGTCTCCCACAGGGCCTCTGTCAGGATACATCCAGTTTATCCACTCTGCTATCCCCAACGTACCTCACTGGGGTAAGTACTTCTTCCTTCCCTGAGTTTCAGAAGCTGGAGAGCTTGCCAATCCACCCCCAGCCCCAAAGCAATCCTCATTCTTATCACTCATTGTAGCCCAGACAGTGTGGCTCAGTTGGTTAACCAATGCTCAAAAAGTGTTCCCTATGGAGGTGAAGTCCAGGGCAATGCCTACTCATCCACCCATCTTCCCAGAGGTGGGAAGCTGTGTGTGTGTGTGTGTGTGTACATGGTCTTCTCAGCCCTTATCCTGAGTGTTCAACCATTGTGATCTCTGCTCCTTCTATAGCTACTCTCACCTATAGCTCTAGCCTTAATTGGGCAGCAGATTTTGAGGGGTCAGGCCCTATCTATGACACCTTCAGTGTCAGGGGCTGGACCCTGCCCTGTGGAGATTTTAGAAAGGAGCCAAATGGAGGGAGATCCTATAGGTGTGTATGAGGTACATGGTGTCAAGGGGAAAGGGCTAGAGTTGCTAGTGGGGGAGGTCCTACAATGATGGAGGGCTGGCTCTCACTGTTTCTCCACGATTTCCACCGAGGTCTTGCCACAGCAGGGAAATGCATTGGCACCTGTCAGGGAGAAGGAGGTGATGGAGGGAGCTGCAGGGTGGGTGGACAGTCCCTGACAGAACCTGGAACCAAGGCCAGAGATGCTGCCCGCCACCTCCTCCCTCTCCACTCTCACTCTCCTCATCTCTCCCATCCTCCTCCTCCTCTTCTTGCCCTCCTTCTAATGCTCTCAGTCCCATCGAGTGGAGGACTCCACTCAACATTCTGCCCATGCCTTGACTCTGGGATCTATCACCACCCTCCACCAGAGTTAGTGCCTCCTGCCTTCCTCCCTCCTGCTGCCATACCAGTATATTTTATGTATTTCATTGGCTACACAAAAAAAGAGAGGGCTCATTTGCCCAACATATCATGGCTGCTGAAGTGAGGACTTGAACATAGGTTTAAGAAATGAAATTCCTGCCAGGTACCAGTGTCTCACACTTGTAATCTTAGCTACTCAGGAGGCTGAGATCTGGACGGTTGGAGTTTGAGGTCATCCTGGGTGGAAATTTCTCTGAGATTCTGTGCTCAAGTAATCAGAAAGAGAACTGCAGAGAGAGAGAGAGAGAGAGAGAGAGAGAGACAGAAAGAGAGGGAGAGAGAGAGAGAGAGAGAGAGAGAGAGAGAGAGACAGAAAGAGAGGGAGAGAGAGAGGCATGCAAAGTACCCTGGCCCAAAATTTCACAAGACCCCCATCTCAACAGAAATAGTTGGGTATGGTGGCATGTGCGTGGCATTCTAACTTGAGCAGGAATGTAAATAGGAAGACTGTGATACACGCTAGGTGGGGGGAAAAGTGAGAGCCTATTTCAAAAATATCCAGAAAAAAAAAACAGTTTGCAACTGTAAGCCTTAAGTTCAATTCTCAGTACTTCCCTCCCCCAACATAAAAACACAAAAAATAAAAACCCAAAAAGCCCCCATGAAGTTGGACACAGTGGCTAATGCCTGTCATTCCAGTTACAGGACTAAATAGAGGATCATGGTCCAGGCCTCCAGGTCAAAAAAAAAAAAAAAAGAGACCCTATTCAAAAATAAAACAAAAAGGGTTTGGAGTCTGCCTAGTAAACACAAGGCTTGGAATGTAATTCCCCATAATGAAAAAGGAAACAAAAAACCCCCAAGCCAAACCAAATTTAAGCACCCTCCTCTCACCATAGAATGGGATGTTATGAAAATAGAATTATAAACGCAAAGATCCTACCTCAGTAATGGAGATTGGACACAAGTTCTTACTAGGTAAGTGCTCTACTACTGAGCTATATTTTCAGGCCCCCCTACTTTTTTGTTTCATTATGGAGCCCAGGTTGGCTTTGAACTCTCGATTCTCCTGCCTCTGCTTCCAAAATGCTGGGATTACAGGCATATACTACTATGTCTGGTAGAAAGACATAGTTTTGGCAAGTAGAATTGGTGAAAATCAAACAGAATAGCCCCAGAAAGTAGAATTAAAAGAAGATGCAGCTGGGTGCTAGTGGCTCACTGCTGTAATCCTAGCTTTAAGTGGCTGAGATCGGAGGATAGTAATTCAAAGCCAGTCCAGTCAGGAAAGTCCATGAGACTCTTATCTCCAATCAACTACCAGAAAACCAGAAGTGGTGGTGTAGCTCAAAATAGTAGAGCACTAGCTTTTAGCAAAAAAGCTTGAGGACAGGGCCTAGGCCTTGAGTTCAAGTCCCATGACTGACCAAAAAAAATAGAGATGCAAAATGACAAAAAAAAAGAATCAATCGGACATCTGGTTTTAAATTCTAGAAAAGAGATCCAAAAAGAATAGAGGATATGAAGAGAAAATTTTCTCTAGGCTGAAGGATGTTTACTGAAAGGCCAGTAGCACAGATGTTGAAAGATCCTTCCTGTGAAAATTTATTAAATCAGGAATAACTAACTCCTAAATGCTTCTGAAAGGTAAGACCTAGTAACCAACAAAGATAGGAAAATCACACTGGTGGCAAAGTTGGTTATGATTGTCTTTAAAATTCTGAGGGAAATGGTTTTTAACATGGAATTTTACATTCAGCAAAACTATCATTTCAGCCATGGAAAGACTCATAAAATGTACTTTCTCTTTTTTTAGGAAGATATTTGATGTACTGAAATAAGATGAAGGCATACAACAGAGGTCTATGACCATTCATTTTGGTGTGGAAAGATGGTACATGTTGGGCAGTAGATCTGTAAAAAAGAAGGCCAGATAGAATAATTGACTAGGGCTGGGAAGATGGCTCAGTGGTAGAGCGCTTGCTTTGCATGCCTGAGGCCCTGGGTTTGATTCCTCAGCACCATATAAGCAGAAAAAAAATTTTTTTTGCGCCGTGGCTCAAGTGGTAGAGCGCTAGCCTTGAGCTGAAGAGCTGAGGGACAGTGCCCAGGCCCAGAGTTCAGGCCCCATGACCGGACCAAAAAAAAAAAAAAATTCAGGTTCTATTTCAACATGTAGCTGTATGTGGTGGTATACATCTGTCTGTCATTCTAGTGACATGGGAGGCTGAGATTGGAAGGACTGAGGTTCTAGGCTAGACTGGGCATTGATACTCTAGTGCAGTGAAAGAAGCTGAGCATGAGGGCACACGTATGTTACCTCTACTATGGTGGGAAACCGAGGTGTGCACCTAGGCAGAAAGTAAGATCCTATCTCAAAAGCAAGCGGCATAACAAAGGATTGGATGCATGGCTTAGAAGTAAAGTGCCTGCCTAGCATGCACGAGGCCTGGAGTTCAAAACTCCAGTATTACTCCTGCCCTTAAAAAAAAAAGAACCAAATCAGATTTTATATCCACCTGAAGGTGTGTTGGTTGTTTACTTCAAATCCTTGACACAGGGCTGGGAAGGTGACTCAGTGGTAGAGTGCTTGCCTTGCATTCATGAGGCCCTGGGTTCAATTCCTCAGCACCACATAAGTAGAAAAAGCTGGAAGTGGCGCTGTGGCTCAAGTGGTAGAGCGCTGGCCTTGAGCTGAAGAGCTGAGGGACAGCACCCAGGCCCAGAGTCCAAGCCCCAGGACCAACAAAAAAAAACAAACCTTGACACAAACTCTGTGGATGCTTACTAAATAAATGTCTTTGCAAATAAACATTTCTTTCTTTTCTTCCCTCCCTCCCTCCTTCCTTCTCCTCTCTTCTTCATTCCCTTCCTTCCTTCCCTCTTTTCTTTTCTTTTTTTTTTTTTTTTTTGGTCAGTCGTGGGGCTTGAACTCTGGGCCTGGGCGCTGTCCCTCAGCTCTTCAGCTCAAGGTGAGCGCTCTACCACTTGAGCTACAGCGCCACTTGCGGTTTTCTGGTGGTTTATTGGAGATAGGAGTCTCACAGTCTCTCCTGCCCGGGCTGGCTTTGAACCGCGATCCTCAGATCTCAGCCTCCTGAGTAGCTAGGATTACAGGCGTGAGCCACCAGCGCCCGGCCCCTCTTTTCTTTTCTTGTGCTGGTACTGGGGCTTGAACTCAAGGCCTGGGCGCTGTCTCTGAGCTTTTTTTGCTCAAGGCTAGTGTTCAGCCACTTGAGCCACAGCTTCACTTCTGGCTTTTTGGTGTTTGGAGGTAAGTGTCTCAGAGATTTTTCCTGCCTGGACTAGCTATTTTTTTTTTTGTCAGTCGTGGGGCTTAAGTGCTGTCCCTCAGCTCTTCAGCTCAAGGCAAGCGCTCTACCACTTGAGCTACAGCACCACTTCCGGTTTTCTGAGTGTTTATTGGAGATAAGAGTTTCATGGACTTTCCTGCCTGGGCTGGCTTTCAACCGAGATCCTCAGATCTCAGCCTCCTGAGTAGCTAGGATTACAGGTGTGAGCCACTTGTGCCTGGCTTTAGCCCACATTTCTTACCTCAAGTGCACACCCTGTGCATCTAGACTAACATGGCCAATAGTATTCTGATGCTTGACCTTTGTCTTCCTTTCTAGTCTTTTTATTTATTTATTTATTTATTTGCCGGTCATGGGGCCTGAACTCTGGGTCTGGGCACTGTCCCTCAGCTCTTCAGCTCAAGGCTAGCGCTCTACCATTGGAGCCACAGCACCACTTCCGGCTTTTTCTGTTTATGTGGTGCTGAGGAATCGAACCCAGGGCCTCATGCTTGCGAGGCATGCACTCTACCGCTGAGCTACCTTCCAAGCCCTCTAGTCTTTTTATTATCATCATTATTTTTATATTAATATTAGGAGCTCGGACTCAGGGCTTTGAACTTGCTAGCTAGTACTCTACCATCTGGGCCATGCTCTTAATCCTTCTATCTACTCCTTCTTACAGCTGAGATTACAGCTTGTACCACCACACCTAGCCAGTCTTTTGTCTCTTGGTAGCCTCCCTCACAAAGCTCAGTTCATCCTACATTCATCTGAAATAGAAACCTGAGTCACCTATGACTTCTTCTGTAGCATCCTACCTTCCACTTCTGACTTGACCTTGGATGTGTCCCTTTTCACTCTTACTGCTTTGGTCCTCCTATCCTGGGTACCAGAGCCAACACAAACCTGTTTTATGGCCTGCTGACACTCGATGCTGCGTGATGCCTCCTTATTATGCACAGTGGCCCCAAGTTTCCTCTCGAGGTGGAGAAACACGTACAAGGTCACACGGCTACTGAAAACAGCATCCACTCCACTGAGTGCACTGAAAACAGGTCTAATGGCTCCCAACTCTGGGATGCTAATTATTGTGCTGTCTGCCAGTACTGGGGCTTAAACTCCCCAGCAGAAGCGAGAAGTGGGAGGGACTTGCCTTGGAGCCAATCTTGCGCCCTCCACCCGCCCCCTCCCCTGCATTCTCCCCTCCTCCCACCCTGTCTGGACCCCTGATCCATCCGCTGCTCATTTCCCCCATCCCACTCGCTTAGCAGCGCCACCACCCACCTCGCCGGCAGAGCCTCACCCGCTCCCACCTGTTACTCCCATGCTGACAGGGGGAGTCTGTGTCTGGGTGGCCGGGAGTGGGCTGGTGGTTGCTCCCCCTCCACCTCCAGTGCGCTTTTTGGCGGAGGGGGTAGGGGACCGAGAAGATACAAGGGGCGCAGGCGCCTGTGATGTCGCCATCTCTGTGACGTTTCCCGGGTCCCGCAGACTGAAAACTGCGTGGTTTTCCCAGTGGGTGGAGGCGGCCAATGGCGCTGTTCCCAAGGTTGCGGGAGGCCTGGGGCAGCAGGGGCTTCTGCAGCTGGCAGATCGGGAGGAGGGTGAGCATGGGTCCCTGGAATGTAACAGGGCACATGGCCTCTGCTCTTCCTTATGTGGGTGCAGAGCAGGCTGGATTGAACCCAAGCTGTGCACAATGCACACACACTTGTGCATAGCTTTAAAAAGGAGCCAGATCAGACAAGGCATCCTGTGCAATGGCACTTCTTCTCCTTCAGGCTTTGCTCCACGACCAAGGAACTCACTTCAGAATCCCAACCCTATGCAGATAAGCAAATGCACAGCAAGAGCTTAGACCCACACTGCTGTTAGGTGGTTTTTGTTGTTTTGTGCCACTCTACCACTTGAGCCAGGGCTTCGCTTCTTTTTGGTGGTTAATTGGAGATAAGAATCTCATTGATTTTCCTGCTCTGGCTGGCTCTGAACCACAACTTCAGTTCTCAGTCTCCTCAGTAGCTAGGTACACGTGTGAGCTACTGGTATGGGGCTGTCAGTTCTTTTGAATCAAGCATTGGGTGGGTGGGTGGAGGGTGAATGGAGGCTTGCCTTATACCTACCTTGGTATCTGGTCAGTGCCCAGGCCACTTGACTTCCTTCTTAGTGGTACTGGTTGTCTGCCTTGGTAAAGTATGTAAAGTACGTAGCCTTGGCATCTCCCCCCTGCTAACTTCCCTTTTGCCACTGAGTGATGGATGTCTACCCAAAGGTAGAACTGGAAATACTGGCAGGAGGAGCCCCAAACAAGGGCGGGGAGGGGGTGGGGGGGGACTTGCAGAAGGCTAAGGAAGGCAGCTGTCAAGAGTCCAGTGAGCAGACAGGCAAGCGAGGAGACATCTAAAGAGGCCCAGAAACATGTCATCACTGCAAATTTTATTGCTTAAGAGCTCTGTACAGTTGAAGGCTGCAGCACCAAGGCTGTGGTTTTTTTGTGTGTTGGGGCCAGGGTCTCTTCCTGGAGCAGCTTGGATCCATGGGAAAAGCTGAATAGAGGCCACCTTGGCTAGACATCGGGTCCTAATGTCCCTTCCCCCAATAATTCACAGTTGATTTAATGCTACATGAGTTCTAAGCAGCTCCCCCTAAGAGAATAGGCTGGGCTGGGACCATAGGGTAGGGGTAAGGAGAGGCTCATATTAAATCCATGGGGCTCCAGAGGTCAGGCACATGGGGATGGGTGAGGACTGTATCCCTTCACCCATCTCCAGGCCTGCTTGTGCCCTCCCAGAGGGCATCCAGGAAAGTGCTTGGAGGTTATCAGTGTGCAAAGTGCTGCTGGCAGTGCCCTGCATCCAGAAAGCTGGCATGTTGAGATCGACAGCATGGCCTGGGAGCAGTAGCGCTGACATCTGCCTCCTTCATCATTTATCATGTCTCTTTTTTGTTGTTGTTGTTGGTTGTGGGGCCTGAACTCTGGGCCTGGGCACTGTCCCTGAGCTCTTCAGCTCAAGGCTAGCACTCTACCACTTGAGCCACAGTGCCACTTCCTATCATGCCTCATACACAGGCCATTCCTGTCAGGTGGCTCCCCCATGACTTTTCATTTTCATAGATGAAGGAGTTGAGTGCCAGCTAGTTGGGCTGGATGCTAGGTCTGCTAGACCCAGGGTAGATGTGGTGGCCAGCAGCAAGGGAGACACATGCTTGGGGGCTGCGAACAAATTTACTTCAGTACCTTCTCTGGTCCTTGGCTAAACTAGAGTTCAACTCAGGACCTGTGCTGTGACAGCTTAAAGGGGGGTGTATTCTATCAAGGAGCCTACTCAGTGTCAGCCATTCCTTATGTGTCATCCACTGGAGGTTGATGGCCAGGGCACCAGGTATGGGGTTAGAGGACCCACTAACCCCAGGGTGGGCATATTTGCTGCCTTGCAGCTCTACCACTTGGGTGTGAACCTTTAAGACTCTCCTACCTGCCTGGGCTCTGAGAGGCTGAGGGGCTCATCAATCCCCTGCAGACCTAGGCTGGAAGTGATTCCCCCAGCTATGGGCAAGTGACCATTGGTTCAACTTGTTTGGAGCAGCTCAAAGAACCCCCTCTCTGCTCCTGGGACTCCTGGGGGAAGCTCCTCCTGCTTACTGCATCTCCTCACGCAGGTGGAATATTCTCTTGGCAAGAGCTTGCAGGACTCAGATGGAAGTCCTAGGAGGCAGTTCATAGCCCCTCATATCAGCTCTGTTTTCACCATTGAGCCCAGGGACAGCAGATCCCCTGCGTCTCAGGGCAGCAGTGAGCACCAAGAAGGAAGGCTGCTCTGGGTAGAGTGGAGCCAGTTGTGGAAAGCAGGGCTAGGGTCTGTTCTCTAGCTGGCCATGTTTGATCCTCCAGTTCCAGGCAAAGCTGCAGTCAGGGGCCAGGGTGCACTGCAGGTCAATGCCGGAGTCTGGTACCTCCATGTCATAGCGAACAGGCTGTCCATCTTTGGTCACCAAGCTGAAGGCTGTGGCCGGAATCTGAGGGATGAGCATACCAATGGTCTGAGAGGATGGCATGGGATTCAGAAGCTACTTAGAAGCATAAAGCTGATGCAGTCTCCAAGCATGTTGGCGTATATCTCCTTCCAGCCAGCCAGGCAGCCCTAAGGCACTGTCTTCCTTTCCTTCTGGAAGAGTGGGAGAATCCATCCTGGCCCAGTGTGGGTCCTGAGGAACCTCAACCACCAGGGCCCATTTTGCTTTGATACCCCTCAGGGAACACTTGAGGCCATGTCTAGCTATTCCTTAGGGTCCTACTTCTACTTATTTGAAAGTTCTCCTCCTAGAGGGCCAGGACTCTGCCTCTAAGTGTGTACATGTCCACTTACCTGGCTGCTAATGCCAGTGGCGATGTCTCCCACCTTGACCCGGTGGAATTCCCGGATGTGCAGATGTTCACCATTGAGAGACTGTATTTGGACTTTGACACCTAGAAGGTAGGCAAGGTGACAGGAGGCTGTTGGCTCCCTGAGCTGAAGTGGCCTTTGGCGTGGGCCATGGAGGCTGTGAGCTAAATGACACCTTCATTCTGGTAAAATCACAATATAAACTATACAACCAAGCTTCAAAATGAAGACTTTTACATGGCATCTTTTTTTATCAACTGACCCAAATCCCAGGAGAGGATGTAACAAACTTGTTGCCCAAACTTGTAAGGCACCAGTGGCTCATGCCTATAATCTTAGCTACTCGGGAAGCTGAGATCTAAGAACTGTGGTTCAAAGCCAGCCTGGGCAGGAAAGTCTGTGAGATTTCTATCTCCAATTAAATAACAAAAGCACCAGAAATGGAGCTGTGGCTCAAGTGGTAGAGTGCTAGTTTTAAACCTGGGACAGCACCCAGGCCCTGAGTTCAAGCTCCAGGACACACAAAATAAATACTTGTGGGTCCTGGTCCTGTCTTTCAGAAGACATTCATTTCAGCTTCCTTCTCAACCCCAGGAGTGGCTGCTCTCCTCCCCAGGCTGGGGACTTTCTGAACCTCCTCAGCAGCCAGTCAGGGGACAATAGTTCTCTACTGGCCTACCAGGAAAGGCTTGTGAGCCAAGAACCTCATGTTCTGGGTGCTAGGCTCCTTTTCCCCTCTCCCTCAGTGTCAAGGCAGGCCTTGAACTCTGCCCTGCACCAGGGCCCCCCATCTGGTATGAATGGGTCCTTGGAGGGCAGGGAGGAAGTTTGCCGTACCATTAAAGTAGCTCGGGGTGTCAGTGGGCCGCCCCCGGGCCAGCACCATGCTACAGCTTGAGCTTCGAGCCTCTGCCTGGCTGTTCCATGAGTGCACGCCGGAACTCAAGGTGTCCTGAGAATTCTGAGAGGCCTTAGATGGGTTCTGAACACAAGAGTGGACACAGACTCAGGTCCCTGTGCTCAGGGCTTCGTTTCCTTTGGGGCAAAGGGGCCCTCTCCCACACCCTCTGGAGGTGAGACAGTTCTCAAGTCCTAGGCTGCAGGAGGGCAAGTATATTTCTGTGGGGACCAAAACCTACCCTTTGCCAGTCCTAGTGGCTTAGCCCTTTCCTGATTCCTAGGTGTGATGGAGATGAACTGTCTGTCACGAAATCATGACCTTGTGCTCCAGTGAGGATCTCCTCCCTTCCCCTCTCCTCCCTCTCCCCCTCCTACTTGTACACAGCTCATTCCTCAGCTGGATATAAAATCACCTGCTCTGTCAGGACTTCTGGCCCCTGAGTGACTCACCTTCTCACTGTCCTCTGATAGGGAGAGGCTGTCAATGCTGAGACATGAGAGGATTTGCTCCTGTTCCTCCAGAGAAAAAGGCTGGGACAGGCTGTTCAGAAATAATTCTGCAGGGAAAAGCAGAAGAGAGCTGTGAGAGGCTAGGAGGAGGCACCATGTTGTTAGGGGGAAGGTCTTTCTGCACAGACTGCAGGAGCTGATCTGCCAGGGAAGGGGTTGGAAGCAAAGTCAGGCTGAAGTAGGGAATAGAAGCCCAGCTTTGCTGCTATACCTGTTTCTAGCTGCTGCAGCTCCAGCTCAGAGCAGGTCGCTCTCCGCTCAAGTGTGCTGGGGCCCTTGGCAGGGGCTGGGTCTAAGGAGGATAGAGGCAAGGGTTCCCATGTGCCACACTCCTCTTTACTCAAGTTCCACTCTGGAGGCTCTGGTGGTAGAGGAGGCTGAGGCTTAGAGGCCCAGCCTGTGGGGTCCTCCACTGGTAGGCGCCCCGCTGACTGGGTATTCAGGAACTGGTGATGGTTAGCCTGGCTTGAAGGTGGATGTCTTGGTTCTTTATATTCTCCTCTCCAAGGGCTCTTCAGACCTCCCACTGTTAAGACAAGAGAGCATACCAGGGAAGGTGCAAATGTGCCAGCTTGATGTGCCAGGTCTCCTTCTATAGTTTCCTGATTTCTCTCAGCACTACATTATGGCCTTCAGATCAGTAGTCATTGCTCCGTGAGTATTGAGTGTCTTTAAGTGTGCTCCACTCATCTAGTAGAGGACTCATGATCCCGGCCAATTCCCCTCCCACCAATGAGGCTGCATGGTGAGTCCTCAGGCATGTACACTTAAGGAGCTGGTGGCTCTCAGCACCAGGAGTGAAAAGGGGCCTGAGTGTGGG